AATGTCCTTGTGAATGGTGACGGCGAGTCCTTACTCGGTGTAGCACTTCATTTCAGATGCACTGTGGAGGGCACTGCTATCAATTTGGCTAGGGCAGGTCTCCTGAAAATGCACGTATACAATGAATGGCAGTCCACCACGAGGAACTGCGTCTTTATCGACCTGAAGGTTTCGGCCGCCCCGAATGTGACGATCATCTTGACATACTCCTAAGGCTTGGTGACATGACAGTTAAATCCATGGAGGTCGGAGCCGACATAAGGGGTTGGGTGGGTCTCGTTTAGCTGGAGAATGGTGAACAACTGGGAGTACATTATGTCCACCGAGCTTCCTTGGTCGACAAATATTTTCCTGATGTCACAATTATCCATTCGTGCTCTTACGAGTATATGAATATTTGATTTGGGGGCCTCATTGGGCAGCTCTTCTCGGTAGAATGCAATGGGGACAGAGCTCCTCCTGACTTTATCGAGGGTGGAACTCTTCTCGGAGCTAGTATCCATGAGTTGCTTGAATTTTCTCTTGACTGAGCCTACTGTACACTCATTGAAGCCCCTGCCGGAGATAACCATTGCCGCTGGAAATGTCTCCCAAGGGCTATAGGTTGCAAAGTATAGAGGGACTTCGTCCAGGTCGGGGAAGTAGAAGTCCTCGAGCCTAGTGATGCTCAAGGTGATGGGTATGAGGCCCGTGTTGGGGGAAGGCTTCTCTTCTTCCACCTTCTTGGACTCCTGGGCATCTTCATGGACACCTTCTTTCTTTTTATACAGTTTGAGATTCCCATCCATAATGAGTATCTCGATGGCATCCTTCATGTGGATGCAGTCGTTTGTATTATGCCCGTGACTTTTGTGAAACCGGTAGTACTTGCTTTTGTCTGTCCCAAACTTGGATGGTGTTTGACGAGGAAAGTGTACCCTAGCCTGCTTGAACTTCGAGTTGGCGTACTCTGTCAGAATCCGCTCGCGCAAAGCATTGAGAGGCGTGTAGTCGTGGAAGCGACCAACTGGTCCCCTGTAATCTTTAGAATCACAAGATTTGTCTTCCCTCTTCTTTTTCCCTCCCCGACGGGATGTCGAGGGCTCATCATTATTTGAGACTTTTGCATTCTCACAAATGTCACAAGTCTCTCGCGTTGTTAGCAGCCTCCTTCTCCTTGTACAGGATCTACGCCTATGCTTTGAGCACAAGGGAATCCAGCATTGCAGGAGTCTCAATGCCAACTGCTTTGGCGAAGTCACTGCGATGATGCAAGGCTCGCTCGAGGAAGTACTTCTTCATCCCGTCGGTCGTGGTGACCTGGACTGCTTCCTAGTTGAATCTTTAAATGTATGCTCAGAGGGACTCATACTTACCCTGGATGATGGCCTCGAGTGCAACTTCTGACTTGGGGTGGCGACAAGTTGCCGTGAAATTCCTGGAAAATTGTCTCCCCAATCCCTTCCAAGAAGTGATGGATTCATCAGGGAGACTCTTATACCAAGCTATAGCTCCCTTCTAGAGTGTTGTTGGGAACAATCGACATTTGATTGCTCCTCAGCAACCCCTGTAGTCAAGCAATGCATTAATGTTTTTGATGTGCTCGTCCGGATCTGTTGTGCCATCGTATGTCCCCAAGTGTGGGGATTTATCAAGACTGATAGAAAGCGGAGTCTCCATGATCTCTCTGGATAACATGCCACAGGGCTCGTCATCATCGCTATGATCAGGAGACGCTAGCAGGGAGTAGTTGTTTCTTCCTCGTCATGGGCTACTGTCCCAGCGGAGAGAGATGCTTCTTGGATGCTGTCTTAACTTGGGCGACGGGGAACAGTCACAATCAAGGCTATGGCCGTTCTTCATTTTCTTGTAGACCGGGGAGCATTAATCTCTTCCAAGAGGTGTGCGACCTCGTTTCTTGAGGAAAGAAACATCTTGCTTCTCTCGTACGGGAAGACAACCACACCTTGGCGGTGATGGACTGCGGGAGTCGTAACATCGGTGTCTCTGAGGGGGGGACTTTGATCGCTTCTTCTCCCAAGCCCAAATCCTCTTGCTCTGTTTCAAGATTAACGCGTTGGTTTAATTAAGGACAGCAAACAATGCTTCCATGGCCGAATCGACATTTGGTGGAATAGGGACTGGCTAGAGGATTTCTGGTAGTTCCTCGGTAGGGTTCTTAGACCTATGATCTTTCAAGAGTTGGAGATTGTCGCGTTCAATATCGACCGAATCTGGGGACGTTCTTCGGCTGTCTTTGACATAGAGGACATCCTCGAGATGAGGATGCTCTTGGCTTCTGTCTGTCTTGTGGACGGGGGAGAGTATAGTCTTTCCAGAAAAGTGGTTGTCATCATGGTCGGCCATGGCAGAAATTGCGGAGGTATCTTTGGTCTTTAGTTTTGAGGAAAAGAAAGACGGAAAAGATAGATTCCTATAGACGACGCCACTGATCTTACCAGTTGATCATAACCTGAAGGTGGGCCGAATGATGACGTCTGCTTGGCTGAAAAGTTGAGGAGAGGATGGGGGTGTACCTGCAAGGCACTCCGGCGATAAAGTAAGAATAGATGCAAAGAGATACAAGAAAGTGTTAGCTGGGAATTTCGACCAGGTTAATAAAGGAATCATTCTTTTAAATTTCCATAAGATGTCTTGAAAAAGCTATAGACGAAGTATGTTGTTACTGGATCTGATTCGAAGAAGACAGTTTGAAAGGACAAGTGTTTTTGTTTTGTCAAAAATGCGCGTTTCGACGGCCACGTGAGAAAGTTGTTGCTGAAGGCTTGACCGGGAATGTTTGAAATTCGAAATAGTTTCGTTGGATAAGAAGGACACGTGGAAGCCTTAGAAGTGTCGAAAGACATGCAAGAAGCGACGTGGATTTTCATTAGAATAATACCGTTATGGTTAGAACATTATAAATAGTTCCTTAGTGTTAGGGAGAAAGGAGGGTCATAATTCGTACAAATTTACTCATAAAATACTCAAGTACCAAGTTACAGAGAAAGAGTTCATTGAGAATGTACGTATGACATCACACATTTTATCTTTGAAATGCATTTATCAATATAATCTCGTTTGAACCATTCTTTTACGTACTCCTGCAACTGTTCTTAATTTCTTTATGTTCTGTCGAATTGCTTCATTTTCCTGTAAAGCTTTATGTATCAAGTTTCTTTTAAAAGACTCTTTCCTTTACAATCAAGTCCTTTAATTCCAGTTTTAAGTCTTTTCATTGTCAAGTATTTACATTCAAACCTTTTTTGATTAAGACGTTTCGTCCAAACCTTTACATTTGAATTTAATTCCAGAAGTCTTTATATTTTAAGCCTTTACACAAACACATGCACAAGCACTACGTCGTGTTTAACATAAACCGTCAAGTAAGTGTTACAATTAATGTTAAGACACATGTCCTAGGATCAATCTAGTCGATCCTGCGAGTAACCATACATATCAAATTTGTTTGGAAGACTAGCGGTTGTTTCGTCAAAAATCACTGCGAACAGAAAGATATTAGATTTTTTAGTGTAAATATCAGATACCTGGCCCTCACAAGTGTGAGGGTTTATATAATGTCCCTGAAGCTTGGCCATTGGTCCCTACTTTTTGGCCTAGATATTAGGTTCCTAAAAAATAGGTAACTTCCAGGACTTGGTCAAAACGGGCAATCATGCAGTAACTAAGCGTTGCATCGAGCACGTAAGGGATTACATGCAGAAGTGTTTATGAGCGTTTCTTGGTTGTCTGCTTCACATTAGTCAAGCAGACTGGGAGGTAACTGCTTGCGTGGGTAGGAGTGTGGCTTCGACGTCGTTGGCCTTGCTGCTCAAGGGGCATGGCTGACCAAGATTGATGCCACCACAATCCATACTCCAATGCTCTTTCAGGTATTACTATTTTAACTGTCCGCAATGAATGTGGTTCGCTCATCTTGTACCGTTCTTACACATGATATTAGAAGAGATGGAATTGATGGATGCAGATTAAGAAATAATCCAATTGGCTTGTAGTCCACTCCGCCAAATGTCTCTTTTACTTTCATCAAGCCGTTGTAGAGTTAAGGAATAAACAGAATCGTATTTTAATTTCTATTGTTGTTGGAAATATATGTTTGTAAATAGGATTATGAATATTTGAAAATGCAAGTCAGATTTCATTAACAATTATTTTGGGTCATGTTAGACTTTTCGGTTAGAGGTTTTGAGCTGTGAGATTAGATGTGATGCACAAATGAAGGCATCAAACTGTTAGCAGAACCAAAACTCATTATTTTAAAAATCAAACTGGACTGCTTAATCACTTGAACCAAGACTCATTGCATTCACCTTATTTAATGTTTCTTCTTGTTTACCCTTTTGTATTATACTTCCTTCCATAAGTTAATTTTTCTACACTAGATTTCTCTGCTCCAACCTCTTCAATTAATTTCAATGCTTCTTCCACTTTTCCAACTCTACTAAGAGACCTTACAAACAAAGTTTATCTAAGGAGAACTGTGTAGCCAAATTTTTGAAGTGAATCTAAGCATTTCCTAGCTTCTAAGATCCTACCTGTTTCACATAAGCAACCAAGGTAGGCTTAGCAATATCTTGAATGTCAATGTTTCTGGTATTATAATTATTTGCTAAGTCAAATGAAAAAATGAGCACCTGTGGCCTAATGGATAAGGCGTTTGACTTCTAATCAAGCGATTGTGGGTTCGAGTCCCACCAGGTGTGTGTTTTATATTATTTTTGTTTTTCAATTTTATTGCACATAAATGATACTAAGTTTCTCGAAAGTTACAACTCAATTGAACACTAATACTGATGCAAACTACTTGCATTCTGTCCAACTTTTTTGTATTATTGACATTTTACCGTATTTTCTATAAACTGTCACGTATACATACTGAATATCTATAAAATTTAATACAAAAGATAGTCTAGAAATGCATAGAGGATCTGCTAATGCTCCATGCACAATTGTTCTGGCCAAGACAGAACCGTATCTGGATTATGGCATTGCAGTTGATCTTACACTTCAACACAATATGGATCCGATTGCACTACTGAGTTAACCCATGATTCATGGGTTATTGATACATCCTGCTCATCAGCATTTTGTGCAACCATTGTTGAATTGCTAAGTTGGTTTCGAAAACCGAAAGAATAAGACTTTTTCATCTTATTCAGTTCATCGCTACGGATGGACCAGTCTAATTTTCCATCAGGGGAGCCCCAATCAGAGAAGTTAGCATATGGCTCCATGGCCACCGAGGTAGCAGAAGGAATCTTAGAACTAAGGTTCTCCATGCTGCTGCGCTCGATAAAGCTCTGGCTCCGCTTCGACAGGGCATCATTTTTTGAATTGGTAAGGTCAGCAGAAAAGCCCCAAAGTTGCTGAGTCACATTCGGATGCACATGAATAGATGTTGGAGATTGTATGTGGGAACCGAGAATGTCTTCGAGGTTAGCAGGATTCACACCTACAAGCCTATTTGAAGGGAATGAAAGACCTGTCATCTCTTCAATCATTAGCTTCTGCATAAGGCGATTTTCAAGTTCGAGAAATTGAGTATCATCTCTAGCATTCAATGCAGTTTTCAATCTGCTTCTTGGCAACTGAAGTGTAGGAACCGCAGCATGAGACTGAGCCGGCCACATGGTTCCAATTCCACCTGTAGGAGATGTCGCCGCAGACGGAGTCAATGGCGGTGTCGACATGGATTGTGTCGAACTGGACGGAGAGCTCAATGTGAAATAATCCATTGAAGAAGCACTAGGTGAATTTGAATAGGATATCGGTGAAGGCAAAGCAGAACCAGTAGAAGCATACAATGGGCGAAGCTCCTCGGGTTTATGTGCAAAAAAGCAGACTCTTCGGGAGCATTCGGTTTCATCCTTACAAAGCCTTGTTCTGTATTGAGCAGGATGAAGCCAGCACTCAAAAATACCATGTGCATATTCACAAGCATCCCCTTTACTGCATGATCCCTTCCGAAACTCAGGACAAGGGACACAGGTGTAATGATATATCATCGGATCGCGGCGCCTTGCGTTTTCCCCCGGATGAACAAAGGGACATTCGGTCCAATCATGAGTATAAGCCCTTGAACAAGGCTTCACTTTGAATATAAACATCCTAAACTCATCTGTACTATATATTCCATTATTTATGTCAGGTAAGGATAGATCCGTTGGATAATCACTTGAACCAAGACTCATTGCATTCACCTTATTTAGTGCTTCTTCTTGTTTACCCTTTTGTATTATACTTCCTTCCATAAGTTAATTTTTCTACACTAAATTTCTCTTCTCCAACCTCTTCAACTAATTTCAATGCTTCTTCCACTTGTCCAACTCTACAAAGAGACCTTACAAACAAAGTTTATCTAAGGGGAACCGTGTAGCCAAATTTTTGAAGTGAATCTAAGCATTTCCAAGCTTATAAGATCCTACCTGTTTCACATAAGCAACCAAGGTAGGTTTAACAATATCTTGAATGTCCATGTTTCTGTTATTATAATTATTTGGTAAGTTGAACAAGCAAATGAGCACCTGTGGCCTAATGGATAAGGCGTTTGACTTCTAATCAAGCGATTGTGGGTTCGAGTCCCACCAGGTGTGATCTTTTTATATTATTTCTGTTTTTCATTTACCTTTGCTTTAAAAGCTCACAGTAGCATTTTGGGGGTCTGGCGCCATGCGCCGCCGCAATCGGAGATTAACAAGCTAGCATTATACAAAGAGGCTAACCAGGTAGCTAGTAGTTTAGCAAAGCATAGCTTGAGTTTGGACTCTTGCCAACACAATCTACAGTCCAATGCTCTTTTAACCTTTCTTTCAGGTATTACTTTTTTTTCAAGAGGGGTAAAGCTTTTCTGCAAAAGCAAACAAGAATTACCTCCATCATCTCTAAGAACTCCTTTTGGTTGTTTTGTATATTCTACAGCTATTTGAAGTTTAGGGATATCTTTATTTTGAGGTGAACAACACCATTAACTATGCCATTTAGAAATTGTTGCTGAAATCTAATATTATATTATATTATATTATATTATATATATACAATTAATTATAGGTCACTTCTCTGATTTTGATTCAGTTTGATCAGAACTCTGTCCTACCACATCCAACGAAGGCATGAGAGTCAATCCGTCATTTCCTGCATATGTTACCTTTTCAAAATCAGTATTCTCAAATTGCACATGTCTGATACTAAGTTGTCTCATATTTACATCATCTATATCAACATAATCTCTTTCTGCTAATGATCCCTCCCTAGAACTAAATGTTGATGAATCCGTTTCTGCATGAATAGCAACTTCTGACTCATGCTCCTCCGAGTCTACTTTATCCTCCAAAGAAATTTTATCATCTACCTCCGAAAAATTATACTCATACGTGAATTGCTTAATTTGGTCTCCATGTTCATGCAACTCGTCTTTGATGGTATGTATGGACTCTTTTGGGTGTAAACTTGTTTCCTCAATCTCCAATAGATTTTGAATTGTTCTTGTAGCAACATCTATAGCCCAATCATCACTATCTGCATCTCTGAAATTAGTCATGTAGAATATGCTTTCAGATTATGATCAGACTGTTAAAAGAATAAGACTCGTGATTTTAAAAACCAAACCGAATGGTTTAAGAACCAAGACTTGCTAGTTCGGTTCTTAAAACAATACTAAGAATAAAAAGAAATTCTGAAATTAGAAAGCATATTATGCATTACTTGAAAGGGTCAAGTCCAGCTGAGTTAAAGGTTGATTTCATGACAGTTAGAAGGAGCAAAGGATCAGTGGAGAAGTATCCGCCATACATTCCAATTTCCACTAGGAATTGCACGTCCAAAATAAACTGCTCAAGGAATAAAGATACTGGATTACAAATTGAGAATCACTTTAGATAGATAAAAATCATGAACATTGGTACCAAAACATTTAGCTACATGAATTTGGTCACACATTGTGCAAATTAGTTTCAATGTTGCTTTTAATCTGTCATAATGAAGGCTAAAAGAATAAACAGAAGGGAAGGAAATCAGAAACCTGTTTCGCCTCATTTATTTGTAAGATAACATGCTCTTCTGTTGTTGCATTGATCTCTTTGTTCTTGGAAACCAAAATAAACATACACACCATCACCTCCCTCAGTAATTCCATCAACCAATTCACTTCAAACTCATTTTCTTCTTCAAGTTTTTCAATTTTCCTCAATTCTAGGAATAAAACCTGGTCAGGACAAAGAAAAACTTTATACATAATAAATAATAATATAAATCTTTCATGAGCATCTATGGATGCAAAATCAGAAGCAACTATTTGTGCACAGGTATTTGCACCATTTTTTTTGGACTAATTATTTGTGAAAACTATACCTGAAATATTGCAGAGGGCATTGGATTGTGGTTTGTGTTAGCATCAAACTGGTCATTGTAGTGCATAGCTGCAAATATTTCATGGCTGCAGCAAGTAGACAACATTCTGAGAATTAATTGCTGGCAGAATACATTTCTCAACTTAACGGAGCTCTCTTCAATAAACAACAGGAAGTCATGAAGTTCTTGATGCTGATGAACAAATGAATGGTTCTTCACTTCTTGTGAATCCACGTTATTACTAATTCTGCTGCTAAAGATACCTTTAACCGTAGTAGAGAGAAACTGCACTAATGTTGACAAATTGGCCAAAATAGAAACCTGCTGTGACAGTGACTCAGCTAACTTGATTCTAGGACTATCTTGATCCACTTCACTTGTAAGGGCTTTTTCAAGTATGATAATATACTCAATAAAGAGGTTCTTGAGTCCACTAGTGACAAGATTTTCCATTTCAAGGGCAACTAAAGGAGAAATATCCTCTGCAATCGCCTGATTAAAGACACTCAAATGTGTTATGTACTAATACTAGTATTGTGAACACGTGCAACGCATGAGGATACATTTTTCAAAGAATTTATGCTAGTTACATAATATATGGTCATTGAACAAACCTGCAATAGTGTCTGAACCTTCCTGCCACTGGAAGTTAGCAGGCAATAATCAGATTGTTCTGTTGAAGATCCATCTTCACCAAACACTCCAGACACAATGTATTTCTCCAAAATCCAAGAATCACTTGCAGAGAATATAGGAATCACTTTCTTAAAGTGGTTTATGTGTGTATTCAAAACCTCTTCCATGCAGGGGTAGAGATGCTCTACCAGGTATGACAGCAGCACTAGTTTCTGATTTTTACCTAGTAAAGAACAATACGAAAACGCAAACTTCGCAGCCTTTATGGCAGAGGACAATCCAACACTAACTTCTGATGTGCATTTAACAAAGTTGTCAAAACAGTTAAGGAATGACATTGTTTCTTCATACGACCATAACACAAGTTCTGAGGCATAAGGAGAAGTTTCTCCACATAACATCTCAAAGCTCTTAGCCGCTTGTGAGATCATAGAAAACACAAACTTTGCTAGCTTTCTGATATATATCTCATTTAATGATGAATTTGACCATTGCAGATTATTTGTTCCAGTTACAATACACAAATGGTAATATTTAAGCAGAAGATGAATAGCAAGTTGAGTATCACCAAGCCTGCAAAGTGTAGTTAGTGCACTTTTTAGTTCTGGTCCTTCTATTCTTTTATTCTCAACTATCTCTATCAACTGTTGTATAATCATGGATTTTCTCTCAGTAATCATCGTGTTATATAACAGTATCTCATCATTGCTACTAGAGAGAGCTTCATCTTCGTATGCAGATTCTAGAACTTGAAGGGCTTCATCTAGTTTGTTTTCTGACATGAGAATATCCATCTTTTCTGAAACATCATTGATACGAGCTTCTAACTCCCTCGGTGGAGATGGTACAACAAAATCTAAAGATTCTTCAATGGTTAAGTTTATAGACAATATTTTAGGATATATTCGATCTTTAAGATCCTTGACCAAAAATTGATGCGAAAAAAAGTGATTTTCTAGTTGTACAAGCTCATTTTCCACTCCTGTCATTTCCTCTAGTATTCTACACATATGAGGGAGAAAATGATAAAGTAAAGTTTGTAAAATAAATTATAGAACTTAACAAATTACCATACCTAAGGAATGATGAATAGTTAGCACAAATATTTTTATGTAAATCTAAATTTGCTGCTTCCTTGAGTTCTTGAAGTTCATCACACAAATGTTTGATGCCCTGTCATATCATGAAACATGTTGTAGTGATGAATATCATGAAAATATAGAACAATTGAAGAGAGTATGAATGAAAGTACCCTTCCAGTGATAGATTCAATATCAAGTTTGGCGTTATCATCCGGCTGATCAGAGATATTAGAGTTAGAGAGTGAGACGACGGAAACAACGTCGTCTGAGCTCGGCTCTGAAGAGTGTATCGAGTTTCGAGACATCGGGAGTGAGTGGTCTCGGAACCGGAACTTGGTAGCAGATGAAGATTCCATTTGCATATTGGCAATGAAAGTGATGAAACAAATTCATTCATTCAAATAATTATAGTTTTTTGATGATACTAGGTTTTGTTTTGGACATGGGAATTTCCGCTGAGGCTTCGTCGTTTATCCATGTAGAACAATGGTTGTGAAACATGCTTCATTGATATGTTCGCCAATACAGTGTGTTTTTGGTATTTGATTCTACAAAACCAGCTTCGGCCTCTACCACTGTTATTGTTCTTTGTTTTATTTAACGTTGCATTTTGTATTCTAGTCATGCGTCTGTCTCATTGTTTGTCTGCATGAGGATATATGGAATGTTTGATAAGTTAGTCAATGGCAAACCACTTCTGGTGAATATAAATCTATTATCTATTATAAATATATGTTAAATTACACTATAATCTCTTTGATTTTAAGTTTAATTATAACTAATAGTAAGGTTAAATTTATCTTATCAAATCATTATCTCTTTATATTAATTTGATATTTAATGATGCTCTAGTGGCACACTCAGATTTTTTATTGGTATTTTATAATATTTAAATGTACCATACGTAATCTTAATTATTTAATGTGCAGTTGAAACGAAGTGTTAGGTTATCCTTACACTGATGAGACTATAATACATTTGCGATTCTAATACAAATCAATTGTTGTACAGTCATAAACACGACAACTATACCATAAGCCATTGATTATCTTTTCTTCAAGTTTGAAATCATCAGGTAGTCGTAACTTATTGATTTGTGTCTGGATAGAATCAGGAAACTGAGTGATAACTGCAAGGGTCTGCAAGGTTTTTTTTGTGTTCAATGTTGTAGGTGGTGAAACTGGATCTGATTTGCATTCTGTTGGAGCGTCTTTCTGTTGATTACAGGAAAAAGTTGGATTTTACCGTTTATCTTTCTCCTCAGGTTTCAACCTCTGTTGTTGAACCATATAAGAATGTTCTTTAACTCATTCTCTCCTTGAACACACCTATGTTGTTGTACTTCTCGACAACGAAGCCATTTACGACATTTGCAGGCGCTATCACGACATTTGCAGGCATTATCTTGATATCGAGAGTCTCACTTTCAACCCATCACAATTTTATATCGTGATATTGTTTATTTTAAGGGTTGATCTGTTATAGTTTCGTTTTGAGATTGATATTTTTTTAATTATAGAACTATTCCATTTCAGTATCACCATTTTTCATATTTGTATTCTGAGTTTAAGTTATAAGATATATGATGTATCCTATGCATCAAATAATAAATACATGAGAGAGAAAATAAAAAGTAGTACTATATTTTATTTAAAGGTAGCATTACAAACGATTCAATATAAAGGTTGTAAATAATTAGTTCATATTCGTGTTTATCAATCACTCGTAACAATAACTATTTCCATATTTTATTTATAAAAATTTAAGGTAATGTATTATTGGTTTTATGTTAATAAAGTTTAAGGTAGAAATTTATTATTGATTTTTTTAATATTCTTAAATCTGATTTTTCGATTTTCCTAATGATAACTAATATAATAATAGTTAAATTATTTTTAATGTTGTAATTGATGATAGATACAGTTATTTATTACTCAATTAGTTTCATAATAAAGTGATATTTTTGTATTCTCATATTTTGTTTTGAATGTAGAAAGTTTAATTGATTTGGAATAGATTAAATAATGTAGTTTAAATAGATTGAATGATAAAATAAATAAATAAATCATTGTAAAGTATGAATCGTTAAATATTGATGAGACGGTTAAATTAATTTTTAAAAATTTAATAACTCCTAATTATAATTACTATAAATATAATAAATTGAATGATATGTAATGCATTTAATTATATGAAGTGAAAAGTATTATGATAAAAAGTAAAAATTGTAATAATATTATTACAACTTTAATAATAACAATTTTAATTTTTATTATCTATTATAAATATATAAACATAAAAGTATTGGTAAATTACAATATAATCCCTTTGATTCCAAGTTTAATTATGATTAATTGTAAAGTTAAATTTGTCTTATCAAATCATAATCTCTTTATGTTGATTTGATATTTAATGATTATGAAGTGACACACTCATATTTTTTGTTGATATTTTATATCCATTTTTATTTTTTATATGTACAATACACAATCCTAATTATTTGATGTGCAGTTGAAACGAAGCGCTATGTTATCCCTCCACTGATGAGACTATAATACATTTGCGGTTCTAATACAAATCATTGTGCAATCATAAACACTATAAACTACAACTTCCCGTAAGAAGATAATGGTGCCCTTTCAACTTTCGATATTCTCCAACTCAATAGTCGTAGCTTAGAGGGACTGGCCGGTTATCTGTTTCTGTTTATTTTGAATATTACAAACTGTGTGTCTTATCGTTCTTATGATGTATATGATTCTAAGTTTTTCGTATTTTTGTTTCAGCTTTCAATGTTGTTTAGTTGGAAAGGAGATTGTTGGTCCGTGTGCACAAGTCTGCAAGGCTTTTTTATATTCAATGTTGTAGGTGGTGGAACTGGATATTATTTAGGTTCTGATGGAGCGTCATTATGTTAATTACAGGAAAAATCTGGATTTCACGGTTTATCCTTCTCCTCAGGTTTCAACCTCTGTTGTTGAACCATATAACAATGTTCTTCCAATCCATTCCCTCCTTGAACAAACATATGTTGCTGTACTTCTCGACAACGAAGCCATTTACGACATTTGTGTATTGATAAAAATTTGCAGACAAATTGACATATCTTTTATCCTAAAGATAGTTTTATTTTGAGATTGATATTTTTTTAATTATAGAATAATTTCATTTCAATACACCATTCTTCATATTTTTATTCATCATATTAGTTCAAGCTATAAGATCCATGGTGTTTCCTGTGTATCAAATAATAAATACATGATAGAAAAAATAAAAAATAGCACTATATTTTATTTAAAGGTAACACTACAAATGATTCAATCTAAAGGTTGCAAATAATTTGTTCATATTCGTGTTTATCAATCATTGGTAACAATAACTATTCCCATATTTTATATATAAAAATTTAAGGTAATGTATTATTGGATTTATGTTAATAAAGTTTAAGGTAGAAATTTGTTAGCGATTTTTTTTTGTATTCTTAAATCTGATATTTTTTATTTCCCTAATGATAACTAATATAATAATAGTTAAATTACTTTTAATGTTGTAATTGATGATAGATACAACTATTTTTTACTAAATTAATTTCACGATATTTTTGTATTTTTTATATTTTCTTTTGAATGTAGTAAGTTTAATTGATTTGGAATAGATTAAATAATGTAGTTTAAATAGATTGAATGATAAAATAAATAAAAATATCATTGTAAAGTATTAATCGTTAAATATTGATGAGACGGTTGAATTAATTTTTAAAATTTTAATAACTCCAAATTAAAATTACTATAAACATAATAAAATAAATGATAGCATTTAATTATTTGAAATGAAAAGTATTATGATAAAAAAAGTAAAAATTGTAATAATATTATTACAACTTTCATAATAATAACTTTAATTGTAGTTATCTATTATAAATATATAAACATAAAAGTACTGGTAAATTACACTGGAATCCCTTTGATTCCAAGTTTAATTATGACTAATTTTAAGGTTATATTTGTCTTCACACCCATATTTTTTGTTGTTATTTTATAATTTTTTTAATTTTTTTTACATATTGATCGGGACTTTATAAGTCTATTGGGATACTAACTGCAAGTATACAGTTTAGTCGTTCTAGTTTTAAATGATTATCGAACCCACAGAGACTGAGGATCAATCGCATACGATCTAATGCTACAGTTGTTTAACTAAGCGATGAATATTTGGTTTTAGGGGGGAAATAGTTTAATTAAAAATAATAGTAATAGTTATACCGGTGTGTGATGGTCGGACTTCGGGAATTCGGTGAATCGCTTGGCATATAAAGTATTTCGGTAAAAACGAATTGTTTAAAAACCTGAGACATACACTCTTGTGTTCATGAAATAAGTCATGCTACTAAACCTAGTGGATGCACTTTAAATTTAATAACACTTTTTGAAAACAATTTGAGTTTAATTAATTTATTAAAACACTCTCATGTATTTAAAAATTAATGTTTCGTTACCACTATCTGGGTCGAACCCCAGCTCTCGCATGCAGGTTCTTGCCTTAATTAATTTCCCACTCTCGTGGCAAAATCGTGTTAATTATCCTCTCACTCTCGTGACAAGGGTAGTTAAATTAAACATGGAAATTGGAAACCATAAATTATTTGTAAATGTTTTTAGCCAAGTTATCACTGAATTCTTTCGGTACTTAGGAGTCACATACCGGTACAATTAATTTAGCCGGACATAATATATTTAATAACTATGCAATTTAAAATATAATCCATAAAAATAAATGACATAACACAAGAATAAATAAATATCAATTTCATAAAAAACCTGGAAATAATGTTGTTGTGGTAATCTTGGATGCTTACAAATTCCTTGCAATTCAATCGAAATCTATAACTGTGTTAATTCTTAGATGAAGAATTAACACTCTAAAAACTAATTCTGGAAATAAAAATTACAGTACGAATGAAAATGGTTCAAAAATAAATAATATAGTTTAATGTAGAAAAGCAGCAATTTTGGTCTCTGGGAAAATTCTTCGACCCTCATCCATTGAACTACCACATATATATAGGAGAAAATATTGCAGTTGAGAAAATCTTGGAAAAGGCTTGAGTGGAGCAAAACCAGGATGCATGGTTACTGAGTGGAGGAAATATAGGAGAAGAATTATGCCCTCACGTTGCCCACGTCTTCACTAATTCGTAACGTTCCTCTTTACGCGTGTGGAGGTCGTCACAGGTGGGTGACGGTCGTAATGCGCTTAAATAGCGTATTACGCTCGTCAATGATGTGTGACGAGCGTTCTTTCTAGTTGGGGAGGCGTGACGGTCGTCACATGGTGTGACGGTCGTCACAGCTACAAAATCTGT